TTTAGGCGTGCTATGGGCATGCTTTTTCCCGAAGTGACCTGATTGGAAGATTTTTTTTTTCTTTGTTTAAAAATAATAAAAATTTATTTTAAATGTGGGTCAAGATAGGCCAAACTTACATAGCCCACATATCAATTATTAACGTCTTGGCCAAATACTACATTTACATCTGGCCCCAGTATTGTGTGCCGCCTAAAAGACGGTGCCACCTCTGCCAAACCAGGGTCATGTTTGGCCCACTTGCTGTGTGCCAATGCCAGAGAATGCCTGCTGTGCCAGATTTATGCCAAATCTGGGCCAGAATTCTTTGCTATCTGGGTTGAAGAGGAAATGTTGTGCTGTTGTTGTTCTTTTTGCACATATTTCCTATGTTTTCTGTTTGCTTTTAATACAAAAGACTGATTGATTATATAAGTCTTAGGCCAACACATTTACATTTACATTTAGTCATTTAGCAGACGCTTTTATCCAAAGCGACTTACAAATGAGGACAAGGAAGCAAGGAAACAACAAAACTGGTACAGTGCTTAGGACTTTTGCACAGTACTGTATATCTTCTAAACTCAGATTTTGTCACTGTTTTGAAGCACACTAGCTTGTAGGCATTCTTAAAACTAACTGTATACTGGTACTAACATCTAAAAAAATGCCATTTTAACTTCACAGGACTTTTAAATTCCAACAAAGGTGTTGACAATGTACTTGTGATTGTAGCACCGAAACATGGAAGCAATCACATTTTATATTATACCTGCTAATGGTGACAGATAGTGATTGAGAGTGCTAAATTATTATATTTTGCAGATAAAATAGCATGATAACTTTTTAACACCCCTGTATCATCTTTTTATTACACCGTATGTGCAGTCAGAGGATTTTAGCACTGAAATTTGTTTTGTTGTGAGTGAGAAAGTTTTGTTAACCCATTGAATGAGCAAGCATGAATGGAAAGCATATTCAAACATATCCGGATGAATGCAGACGTGGCCAAACAGGCCATAATTGTAGTTATAGCATTTTGCGTTACCTAAGGGTGAACAAGAGTGAGAGAGAGAGGGCGGACTGAATGGGTCACAGGCTTTAGGACTGAGGGAATGGGGTGTGGGCAAGACTCTGACCTACATTCGGCTGCCCTTTCACTAGATCTGCCTCTGCGAATCACACTTCCTCTTATAAACTCTCACCAGCACTTAATATACACTCACACGTCACACATAACCCCGATTAATACACATCTTGTGATATGCTTCTACATGACACTCGTATGCTTATAAGCATGCACGTCATCATTATAATCCTGTTCCGCATGACACACATTGGCGCTCAGACTCTTCTGCCCCTGTTTGCGCTCTCTATTTTTTGACCTACATCTTAGGCAACTGGGTTACATAACCAGAGTTATGTTGTGCTCTGGAATCCCAGCGCTCCTGCAGATGTTCAGAGACAAAACATCTTCTCTTCCCACTCCATTCCTCTCTCTCTCTCTTTCTCTCGCTGCCCTCTTTTTCCGGCTTCTTCTTCCTCTGCTTGTTTTACTCTTCCTTCACTTTTTCTGTTCAGATTTTCCTACTTGTCCTGCCTCTGCTCCCACTTTCGTGGTCAAAAATGAGATTTTTTTTCTGCATTAAATGAATGACTTTACACTGTAAAAAATGCCGGGTTCCACACAATTGATTTGTGTTGGGACAACATGAAGGAATTAAGTTAACGTATTAGTTTTTGCAAATTCAAAAGTGCAGTAGGTGATCTGCCAAAATGCTATCCGTTAGCATAATATCTTTTCTACACAATTTTAAAGATCTAATTAAGATAGACAGTAGACAATCCACTAGATCAGTGGTTCTCAAACTTTTTTCATCAAGTACTACCTCAGAAAAAAATTGTCTCTCCAAGTACCACCAAAATGAGCAGTATTGAAATACGATAGCGTAGTAGGCCCAGTAAAGCAGCTACAACTCTGCACAGTTAAAAAAACGTGGCAGATTACCTTAGAAATATAGGCTTTATGTCATATATGGCATATTATATACATAATTTTTGATTAATTTTTAAATGTTTGTACCATGTACATGACATACATCATTCCTCCGCGTACCACTAGAAGGAAGCCTGCGTATCACTAGTTGTACACGTACCACAGTTTGAGAACCACTGCACTAGATCATGTCATTCGCCTGTTTAAAAAACTTCATAGTATAATACTACAACAAAAAACTGTATTATATTTAGCACGTTTTTAGTTGTGTGGCAAGCAAAACTTGTCCTAATGTGCTATATTTCATGCATGCAAGGATCGCTGGTCTCACTCTCTCACACGCTTTGTCCAAAAGCGACTACTGTATGCTTAGTGGTTGGCCAGTCTATGGATGTTTCCCAGTGATGGGTTGCATTTGAAAGGGCATCCGCTGCATAAAATATATGCTAAATAAGTTGGCGGTTCATTCCGTTGTGGTGACCCCAGATTAATAAAGAAACTAAGTCGAAAATAAGATGAATGAATGAATGATATACATTATTTTTTAAGGATTGTGTTAGAAATTACGAAGCAGTGGCGCAGTAGGTAGTGCTGTCGCCTCACAGCAAGAAGGTCGCTGGTTCGAGCCTTGGCTCAGATTGCGTTTCTATGTGGAGTTTGCATGTTCTCCCTGTGTTCGCGTGGGTTTGCTCCGGGTGCTTCGGTTTCCCCCACAGTCCAAAGACATGCAGTACAGGTGAATTGGGTAGGCTAAATTGTCCATAGTGTGAGTGTGTGTGTAAATGTGTGTGTGTGGATGTTTCCCAGAGATGGGTTGCGGCTGGAAGGACATCCGCTGCGTAAAAACTTGCTGGATAAGTTGGCGGTTCGTTCCGCTGTGGCGACCCCGGATTATTAAAGGGACTAAGCCGATAAGAAAATGAATGAATGTTAGAAATTAAATAGCATCATTAAATGATTGTTTTGGGCATTTTGTAAATAATTGTTTAAAATATATATGTAAATATATAACTAAAAACTATTTAAAAGACAAATTTTATAGTGGAAAAAATGTAAATCATTATAATAAATTAAGGCACTATTACATATTAAAAATGATGGATTCTTAGACATATTTGTTAACCAAGTCAAGCTATAAAGTGAACAAGATGTTTGAAGAAGGATTTTTTACTCTGGGTTATTTCTAGCTCACTAATCAAATGTGTGATTGGGTGAACCTTTGTACAAAAGGTCAGATTTTCTTGCTTTCTTTGAAGCGCAAGATTTTCTTTGAAACATTCTCAGATATGGATCATTAGGCTTTGCACAAATCTGTTCATGACGATAAAGCAAAAGACAGCTTAATTCTTTTGCTCAAATAGCACTTATAGCATTTCTATAGGATAAACTGTATATCCATTATCAATGGGTCCAAGATGAGAAGAATCATTCAAGCATCAAACTAACAAATCTTGCAGTGTAAACATATTTTCATACAGTGAGCCCAGAAATAACTCATTAATACTCATTTATACTTTGCCACTATTTTTAAAACCACTTATATTTACCCATTTGTCAGCTAGAAATTTGAAATCATTCAAATTATGATTCAAATTAGTATTTTCTGATTTCATTCATTTTCCTTCGGCTTAATCTGTATTTCAGAGGTTGCCACAGTGGAATTAGTGAAGATGGGTTAGATTGGAGTTTTTCATTCATTCATTCATTTTCCTATTGCTTAGTCCCTTTATTCATCAGGGGCTACCACAGCAGAATGAGGGGGAGGGAGCGCCTCTGCAGTACATATTTTTGTAGTCTACAATGGTTTAACTTATTTTTAAAGCATTTAAAGCATACATTGAAAAAAATATACTACAATTAGTGAAAATGAATGGATTTTAATATACTTGTTCACGTTCACTGAAGCAGTACTAAACCTTTATATTTATGGGTATTTTTTAATGTAACTTCTACAAACTTATAATCCCTATGGTTTTAATATAACATCGGACAACCCGAATGAATTACAATCGAAGTCAGAATTATTAGCCCCCCTTTGAATTTATTTTTATTTTTTATTTTTCCCAAATGATGTTAAACAGGGCAAGGAAATTTTCACAGTATGTCTGATAATATTTTTTCAGCTGGAGAAAGTCTTATTTGTTTTATTTTTGCTCGAATACAAGCAGTTTTAATTTTTTTAAACACCATTTTAAGCTCAATATTATTAGCCCCTTTAAGCTATATATTTTTTTCGATAGTCTACTGAACAAACCATCATTATACAATAACTTTCCTAATTACCCTAATCTGCCTAGTTAACCTAATTAACCTAGTTAAGCATTTAAATGTCACTTTAATATCTAGTTAAATATTATTTACTGTCATCATGGCAAAGCTAAAATAAATCAATTATTAGAGATGGGTTATTAAAACTATTATGTTTAGAAATGTGTTGAAAAAAATCTCTCTGTTAAACAGAAAATGGGGAGGGGGAGGGGGATAAACAGAGGGGGGGCTAATAGTTCTGACTTCAACTGTTTATGGAATCATGTATTTTATGTCAGCATACACTAAAAAAAAATTCAATGTATGTACTTAATTTATTTAGGGAAGTGTTTATAAGTTATTTAAATGGACTCAATTTAAATACATTAATTTGAACATTACTACATTTAATTTATTTGATTAAATTCAAGCCCATATTAATTGTTTGCAACAACTTACCTTAAATATTGTAGTAAATCCAGTATTTTTTTTTTTCGGTGTGTATATAATCATGACTTTTCTCTAAAAGAAGTCAAGAAAAGCTACATTTCATTGTCATTCGGCAGCAGTTGTTTTTGTTGTTTGCTATTGCATTGATGCCTGTACATAGTGCTCAGTTATTAAAGAGATCACAATGCAGCGTTTCTGCTTACTCGTCTGTAATCTCTCTGCAGGATGAATGACGTGTCTGCACCTCCACCCCAACCCTCACTCTCTCTGAATTCCCCTTCTCTCATCCCTTCTCCTCCCCTCCACACTGACCTACTTTTCCACTGACCTGCTTTCGTAAGGATCCGCATACTCCGAGCAAATCAAAAATGGGGGAAAGAGGGAGAAAAAAAGAGAGACCAGCGCAGAGAACAAAGCACTGCAGCTTTGCTAAAAGTCACCTTGCTTTTGTTCTCGCTGCCGTAGCAACCATTCCTGCGCCACAGTTTGCCGTGCACGTCATCAACAACACTTCTTTTTTTAGTTACACACTGTTTAACTAATGTGTTCACAACAGGTGATGTGTGCGCGTTAATATGGATGATTCTGCTGGAGTAGGTTACATACTTTCAGATGATGTTGTTGTATAATAGCCGATTACTTAATGTCGGATAAGGTAGTAGGTGATATAACAAACTGGCAGTCTACCAGATGCGATAAATTAATCAATGCATAACAGGTGATGCTCGGAAACAACCGAGTGCGTTAGAAAAGAGCTTGTGGTGAAGCGGTCGAGATGTCATTTCTTGAGGCGGGAGGTTGAAAGATTGGATTATGGCCTACACTTCAAGCGATTCTTTTTTTAATGCCAGTTGATATCAGAACAGTTACATAACTTGTTTTCTGCTCTATTTTTCTTCTTTGAATCCCTGCCTGCAGAGTGTGTGTGTGTTCATGACCACAGCTACATCATGTTCTTAGTCAATGACCTCACATTGTTTCAGATTTGGTATTTTTCTGTACTTTTCTGATGATTAAGTCCATAAGTGCGTGTTTTAAAGAGAGAAAATGCAAGTATTTAAGTGTATTTCAGTCACAGCTTCTGGAGTATGATTGTGTGTGTTTGTGGGCTGTGACACAAGTGCTGTGACTTGGCCAGTGTTACATCATATTGGATGACTCTTGTGCCCTGCAGGAGTACAGAGTGTCCCTATGCATTCGCAGAGCACTCATTTCTATTAGTTTATTGTGCTAGGAGGGAAGCTGGAACCGTAATGTTTGCTGGCTGGTGTTGTTTACGGTATGACTTTATTATGAGAATTAAGATTTGTGTGTAGGCTTGGGCCGGTATATGATTCTGACGGTATGATAACTTTGGATAAAAATATCACAGTATTGTGCTCACTGCTCTAAAATATATTATTTTTAAATGTCTGGGTAAAAAACAAAAACTTTTTTCCTCTTTGAAAACAATATATTCCATTTTTCGAAAGATTTATGATGTTTTGGAGCAGTAAACATGTCAGGCTAAATAATTCAAATGAGTCATTACCTTCTGCTCTCTTCATCAGTTTCAAAAACACAGATTTTTGTACAATTTAAAACGGCATCTTTGGATATTTTTTCTGCTTGAGATACTGTTGTCTTAAAAAACTACATTTATTCATTTTCTTGTCGGCTTAGTCCCTTTATTAATCCGGGGTCGCCACAGCGGAATGAACCGCCAACTTATCCAGCAAGTTTTTCACGCAGCTGATGCCCTTCCAGCCGCAACCCATCTCTGGGAAACATCCACACACACATTCACACACACACACACACGCTACGGAAAATTTAGCCTACCCAATTCACCTGTACCGAATGTCTTTGGACTGTGGGGGAAACCGGAACACCCTTAGGAAATCCATGCTAAGGCAGGGAGAACATGCAAGCTCCACACAGAAATGCCAACTGAGCCGAGGTTCGAACCAGCGACCTTCTCGCTGTGAGGCGACAGCACTACCTACTGCGGCACAGCCTCGCCTAAAAAAAAATGAATATATACAAAAATAAAAAATGTAAATAAAAAAAAATCTTACACATTCCCTTAGGAACAGTATCAGGGCTCTAAATTAACTTTTTTACTTGGTAGCGCCAGTGCTCCCAACTTAAAATATTTAGGAGTACCAGAAAACAATTAGAAGCACCCACCAAAAAAAAAAATGGGCACCATTGCAAATTGTATTTTAAGGGGTTTATTGTATTTCAGAACAACATCAACTAGGACTAACAAAAACCAGAAACAACTATCTAACTAATGCTTAGATGACTTATTGATATTTGTGTGCAATAATTCCAAAATGTATGTCTAATAAGTATTAAATATTAATTATGACTATGATGACAATAATACTAACAATCAATTACATTTCTCATGATCATGCTGCCTTGAATGTGCTTGAATGCAAGTTATCTGCTAAAAAAAAAGCGTTACTTTATTAAAAAATAAATTCATGGTGTGCATCAAACAAAAATGAAGCATTGCAGTAAGAAATATTTATTTTGCACTATTGTTTTTATATGCATGTCAGTCTAATAAATAATATTTCTGCTACAAAAAAACAAATATTATAATAAATCATTCAATTTAAAGCTGAAAGCTAAATAGAGTAACTAAATAGAAAAATAGCATACATCTCAAGAAAGAATGGACAAAAGAAAGTAAGAAAAGTCTCACTTCCATCACTCTTTAATAGTTTTGGTTTGGGTTTTCTGTGTTTGTAGAATAAAGCAGGCGAGTTAGCCAGACCAATATATAAGCGGGCAGAGCAGGATTCACCGGCAGAATACCGCTCTTTGTTATGAGCCACAGATTCAGTTTAAACTTAGTAAAGGCGAGCTTATTTGGCGATGATGTGTACAGAATTAGATTTTACATTTAGCCGACATTTGCACTGACCACGCAGTGAATGCAACACATTGAGATTCAGGCACCTCCTCTGAAAACACTCGAGTAATCTCAGCTGACGGATCAACATTCACCACATGTCATGTCCTATGTCATCTTTGTAACTTTAGGTGGGGTTTGCAAATCTGTGTGTACTTCTCAATCTTGAGCTGTTTGCATTTCCCGCGTTAACAAAAGCTTTCTGTCAACTGACAGCGGAAAGACTGACAGCTAATATGAACCAATTCGGCGGCAGGGAAGAGCGATTCAGCACGTTTTTAGAAAAAATCTTAACAGGTCGCACAAATGCTCCCAAATATATTATGAGGTCGCATTGATTAAATTTCGCCCGCATATGCGACCTAATTGGTCGCAATTTCGAGCCCTGAGTATTACAGAAAATTTTTGACTTTTCCAAAAGATATACCTTGAAAACGATTATCTTCCCATGCCATTTTGTGTGTGGGTATTGCTAAATGGAATAAACAACATTAGGCAAGTTAAATTCAACGTACAACATGATTTATTTTTCTTTCCACTCATTTAGTGTCATTCTGAGCACCTTGACAGGTACACCAACCTCTTTTTAACAAACATTTTTTTTTTTTACTTAAAACTTCAGTAAATACCACACAATACACCAGGGTACAGAGGTGAAATAGATGCACAGGACATGGAAATACATACTGCATCACATTGAGGTGATCAGACACAAGAAATATGAACCCAAAGAGAAGGAAAGCATTGGAATATAAAATAAAATACAATATTAATAATAATAATTATTATAGAATGCCAAAATAAACTTGATACAAACTTAAAATACTCAAAAAGAGAATTTGTATGTACACTTTTTACATAATGGCCAGTGCCAGGCACCTGTTTGGGAACAATAAACACAGATTTGTATAAAATCTGATGAAAAAAATTCAGTGCAGAAGCAGCTTTCAGCTGTGGTAGATTCTACAAAGACGACTAGTGGGACTAAACTGTGTGTCGGTAACACTTAGTTGTGTGTTGCAGCATTTTTCTTGTGTGTTAACTTTTATACGCAACAGTTAATGGGTACGATGATGCAATGGGCTACACACACCAAAGGAGAAACACTTCAGTTCTGCGTAACCTCAACCATTTCTTCTCATGAGGTAGCATGTGAGGCATCTCTGAAGCCTGACCACAGAGGACAAAACCATCTTGAGATGGCAATGATATATCTTACACTTTGTACAGTCCGCATATTAACTCAGGCCTTGGAAGAGACCACCTTGACATTTCTGAAAGGGCTTTTACTCTAATTTGGCTAAATGTCAGGCAGATTGCAACTTTTCTTTTGTTTTTAAAAAAGGGTTGGTCACAGTGACCTTTGGAGAGGATCGATCCATCAGGCTCCTTTACAGTGATACAACGTAATGCGGTGGACGAGAGATGATTTTTCACTGGATAACCTTGACCTATGAATGACCAAACACTATGAAGAGAGCATTCTGGTGTCTGTCAATTGGTGTAATACAGTGACATAGCGATGACGACTTAAAAAATATAGTGGAAGCATCAGACATTAAGAAAGGACTATACAGGAATTCAAACAGTAAGAAGTAGACAGTGTTTGTTGTCTTTTGCCCACTTTTCTACTCTTAAAAGATTGACATTGTCATTTTTTCATAAAATATATTGAAATATGATATGTTTAGTCATGTCACAGTATTATAATCCAAGTGCTTCAATAATGTTAAAGTCCGAAGGCAGAGGAGAGGCATAAACTGTTGAGGTTTTTTTACTTCTGAAATCAGAATTGAGAAAGAACTTTAACTCCTTGAACTTGTGGCGGAAATTGTAAGGGTCAGTAAATACCCATTTCTATAGCTAAGCTACTAAACACGGCAGAGATATGTAAATATTCAAAGGTGGAGTCGAGGTTTGCTGTACAGAGTTTTGTCGGTTTGTTTTGACAGAGGAAAAAGATCGTTTTAAAGAACTCAGTTTCCCCTTTGTAACTTTGAGTTACAGTTAAGTGCTTATGAAAGAGAGTGAGAGAACAGAGCTGCATTAAAAGGTCACAGAATTGCTCTTGATAAGAAAACAAACCAAGAACATGAGTTACTTTCTTGTTACGAATAAGCAATAGACTTCCATGCAAGTAACTGGTACCATTTCTTTTGACTTTCCATTGGATGGTAGAGATGACATTTATCAAGTCCTGTCTTAAGCGTTGTAATGTGCCAGTTTCAGTCACGTTTCTTGTTTCTGTTACCTCGTCCTCCTGAGCTCCTCTTCCCACTTTCCTTCCATCCCATGTCCTTGTCTCTTGAAGGAGACCGTTGCGTGCAAAGTTCATCTGCCGTCTCGCTTTCGCCCTCCTTGTTTCCAAAGCTGCTGCCTTGCTGCTGGTTAACCTGTGCTAACGCCAGGTATGGGTGCTGTGGCAGTGCAGATTCGGGGGACATAGCTGCTGTGGTGGCTTGGACATCTTGCGAGCCACCGTTGGACAGCGCTCTATACTTGAGCCTTAGCTTGTGAGGCAGAGCAGTGCCTTTCATTTCACCTTGGTTGTCACCATACTGGTAAGCATCACTGGTGACCATAGTGGGCGAGGAGGCTGACTGATGGGTGGCGTGATATCCACCAATATCAGAGGAAGAGGATGAGGGAGATTCATCGTCAGTGGAAGCTTCCTTATCTGAGCTGCGTGGGTCTCCATCACTAGAGGAACTGTCCTTCCCCGAGGAAGAGTGCTCTTGGTAAAAGCCATCTGCTCTTGTGCAACCTTCATAAGTCAGCACTGGTGGCTCCTCGTTCAGAGTGCCGAGGTAGGGATTTGTCCGCTGGTATACAAGGGCTTTTCCAGCCTCATTGAGCAAATCTGGGGCAAAAGAATTAGGGGTGCTGTCTTGAACCTGACTTCTGCATTGTCCTTGAACGGTCAGGTCTTGCTGCTGTATGACAAACCGCCTGTTTTCCCCAGCATCTGCCTTTCCGTTAGTGAATTCATAGCTTGGTGAATCCAAAGACCTCCTGGCCAACTGCTGTGCCACCTCTGAAAGAGTCTCTAAACCGTCATGTCTTAGCGGGAGATTGCACCCTGTTTGGTTAAAATGAGTGATTTGCCCATTTTGTTGTGTTTGGGATGCCTCCTGCTGATCTACATCCTCAACCCTCTGACTCTCAACAGGGTAGGAGCTGCTTCCAGAACGAAAGAGAATGACACTTCTTTGGGGTGTGGCGGATGGAGGGGCTGGATTGCTGACACTTTCTTGCTGCTCCATTTCTTGTGGTTGGTTGGACTCCAGTCGTCCAAGACTTTGATGGCCATTAAACATGCCATTAAGAACACTTGCCTCAAGCCTGTTAATGTCCATTCCGGAGCTCTCGTGTTTGATGTCAAAGTTTATAGGCTCAGGACTGTCCCTTGAAGATCCATCAGACATGTCAGACAGTGATCCACGGGGGGAGTACTTGGGTAACATTGTGTGCCGTTCAGTCCTGGTTGACTGCTCAGCCTCTGAGGAATCAGAATTCATCATGACCTGAGAAGCACTGGAGTATCCACTGCTTGAGAAGTACGGATTCCCAGAGGTCGCTCCGGAACCATTAGCTCCATTAGCTGCTGCCTCAGCACCATTGCTTATCTGTTGGGTCTTTTCCATGTAAGAAGCAGAGCTTATGAGTCCAAATCTTAATTTCAGTTGCAGGAGTTCTGTCTTCAGCCGGACATTCTCATCGTTCAGTGCTATTACCCTGTTCTCCAGAACCATATCATTGAGCCGCCGCTTCTCCCTTGACCTCTTGGCAGCCTCGTTATTCTTGCGTCGTTTTTCCCAGTAGGATGCATCTTTCTTCTCATCGGAGATGAACTCCCGTTTCCGTCGACAAGATGAATTGGGCTTTGGTTTTATTAGACGCCCTTGACGAGGAGGGCTGCTCATTTGAGGAGATGGTAAACTCTCATTGTAGTTTGAGAATGTTTCTAGTGTTTCCAAGCTGGAACCGCTGTTTTGGGTTGGAAGATTTATGCTTTCCATTGTTGTCCTATTGAGGCCAGTTTGTATGACTGGCTCTCAGTGGACATTGAAAAGTAATGTTTTTTTACTGAAGAGTATTTGTTTCTGATCGAAACTTGAAAAACGCACACGATTGTATGTATGCTGATGCACGAGGTTCTGTTTACGCCTCCAAAGAGGAACTGTAGCTTTTTCTGACTGATGGCCTTTTCCTTCCACTCTAAACAGTTTACTATATTTTCAAGTGTCCAGACTAGTCAAAAAGATAAGAAAAAGATGGAACTCTACAAAAACAACCGTCATTGGGCAGGTGTGTTCCAAGTTTTCTTCTCCCAGAAATGGGATAGTCTTTTTGTTTTTTTGTTTTTAATCGCTTTCAGTTTTCAGACAAACTCCTTATTGTTCCCTTGTTCGTTATGTCACCTCTTTTCCTTGTTTTGTTCTTTGTTCTTTATGGTGGCCTTCAGGCTGGGATTGCTGTTAGAGAATAAACTTTTTTTAAGCACCCTCAGAAAAATGTTGGATCATTCGTCAGATCAGTCTCAGCTCAGTGTTTTATCTCAGTCTCTGTTGAACAGATCTGTAAAGACAAAGAAAACAGGGAGTGTTTACTTAAAATGTGTCCTCAAGAATGAATGAAACAACTACATCACAGAGGTAAAGATATCTGAAGTCATATAAAGTAATCAAGAATATCATATTGTTTGCAGAGCATAAAAGATTGTTCTGCTTTACTGCTTTGGTGGCATTCCTATCTTTTATCTTTTTTTTTGTAGCTTGTAGTTTTGTATGGATAGTTCATAAGTACTTTTCAGCTGCTGCTTTGATTATATATATATATATATATATATATATATATATATATATATATATATATATATATATATATATATATATATAATATTATATTATATATACCTTTGATTAATGTCAAATGATTCTAAGTCAAATATGTTTAGGTAATTTGATAAAAACCCAGTGTT